ATCTGGAGCAATGTGAATAGGAACACTATGTAACCTTACATACAGAGTTACTGTGTCACAGTACATTCCTTTACACAGAAAATCCTATGACTATTTGATCACCAAGTCTCTATGAGAAAGGATGTAAAGAATATAAAAGTACAAAATATAAAGAAAGCTCTCACCTCCACTTGTTCTTGCAGGAACTCCTAAAAATCAGAAATATCAATTAGGCATTAAATCATCAGACAATCCTATAGGAGAATCCTAAACTCTCCAGGGAGGTAGAACAAGACCCCCCATGGATACTATTTGGCTATGGAGGATGTACCATCCTTCTCATCTCTCCTCCTCATCTGAAAATTACTTTGTTATAAAAGATTTAGGCAAAAGAAAGCCTGGGAACAGATTGTAGCTCCCAAATACAAAATTGAAATGTAATGTAGATTTTTCATTGTTAAAAGAAAAGGCGTATTCTTTCTTTAAATACATAACACATCAAAACATAATAAATACATATATAAAAGGTAACCTCAATTATCCTTTTTGTGACCGTTGGTCTTCCACGCTGCGTTTCATTGGCTTCTTTCTCCACGAAGCACAGAGGAACTGATCCAACCAGTACCCGCGATTTCTCTGAGTCAGAGAATGATAGCGAGAGGCCAACTCTTGCAAGTCGGGCATCAAAGATTCTACAGAAAAAAAAAATACATTTAACCCTAGGTACAGTCACATTACACCCAGTAAACTACCACAGTTCTTCTTACACGCACTCTGCATGTGTAAAGTGTATTCAAACACCACATCAAAGCAGGAAGTGCATTAAAGGAATACATCAAGCACCATCACCACTACATCCCGCTGTAGTGGTTATAATGCCAGGAACACCCTGGTGTCCTCCCAGTGTAAGTAGTCAAACCATGTAAGAATGGATTCACAGCTTCCCTGGGGTCCACCGGTTGCCACCGCCGCCGCCTCCTTTTCCTTTAAGGAGCTTTGTTAGCGCCCCTGAATTAAGCCTTGTCGAGCAGGGCTGTCTCAAATGCCAGCTGAGCCAACGCATGTTCAGCATCCTTATCTCACACAGGCTGCACTCCCCTAAGAAAGCAATACGTATCTTACCTCGTATCTTACACAGACTGCACTCACCTAAGGCGATACAGCTCCTTGTATCTCACACAGACTGCACTCACTTAAGGAGGCGATACAGCTCCTCGTATATCACAGACTGCACTCACTTAAGGAGGCGATACAGCTCCTTGTATCTCACACAGACTGCACTCACCTAAGGAGATGATATAGCTCCTCGTATATCACAGACTGCACTCACCTAAGGAGGCGATACAGCTCCTCGTATATCACAGACTGCACTCACCTAAGGAGGCGATACAGCTCCTCGTATATCACAGACTGCACTCACCTAAGGAGGCGATACAGCTCCTCGTATATCACAGACTGCACTCACCTAAGGAGGCGATACAGCTCCTCGTATCTCACAGACTGCACTCACCTAAGGAGGCGATACAGCTCCTCGTATATCACAGACTGCACTCACCTAAGGAGGCGATACAGCTCCTCGTATATCACAGACTGCACTCACCTAAGGAGGCGATACAGCTCCTCGTATATCACAGACTGCACTCACCTAAGGAGGCGATACAGCTCCTCGTATATCACAGACTGCACTCACCTAAGGAGGCGATACAGCTCCTCGTATATCACAGACTGCACTCACCTAAGGAGGCGATACAGCTCCTCGTATATCACAGACTGCACTCACCTAAGGAGGCGATACAGCTCCTCGTATATCACAGACTGCACTCACCTAAGGAGGCGATACAGCTAGACTGCACTCACCTCTCCTCGTATATCACAGACTGCACTCACCTAAGGAGGCGATACAGCTCCTCGTATATCACAGACTGCACTCACCTAAGGAGGCGATACAGCTCCTCGTATATCACAGACTGCACTCACCTAAGGAGGCGATACAGCTCCTCATATATCACAGACTGCACTCACCTAAGGAGGCGATACAGCTCCTCGTATATCACAGACTGCACTCACCTAAGGAGGCGATACAGTTCCTCGTATATCACAGACTGCACTCACCTAAGGAGGCGATACAGCTCCTCGTATATCACAGACTGCACTCACCTAAGGAGGCGATACAGCTCCTCGTATATCACAGACTGCACTCACCTAAGGAGGCGATACAGCTCCTCGTATATCACAGACTGCACTCACCTAAGGAGGCGATACAGCTCCTCGTATATCACAGACTGCACTCACCTACCTAAGGAGGCGATACAGCTCCTCGTATATCACAGACTGCACTCACCTAAGGAGGCGATACAGCTCCTCGTATATCACAGACTGCGCTCACCTAAGGAGGCGATACAGCTCCTCGCATATCACAGACTGCGCTAACCTAAGGAGGCGATACAGCTCCTTGTATATCACACAGACTGCACTCACCTAAGGAGGCGATACAGCTCCTCGTATATCACACAGACTGCACTAACCTAAGGAGGCGATACAGCTCCTCGTATATCACAGACTGCACTCACCTAAGGAGGCGATACAGCTCCTCTTATATCACAGACTGCACTCACCTAAGGAGGCGATACAGCTCCTCGTACTCACAGACTGCACTCACCTAAGGAGGCGATACAGCTCCTCGTATATCACAGACTGCACTCACCTAAGGAGGCGATACAGCTCCTCGTATATCACAGACTGCACTCACCTAAGGAGGCGATACAGCTCCTCGTATATCACAGACTGCGCTCACCTAAGGAGGCGATACAGCTCCTCGCATATCACAGACTGCGCTACCTAAGGAGGCATACAGCGTATATCACACAGACTGCACTCACCTAAGGAGGCGATACAGCTCCTCGTGCACACAGACTGCACTCACCTAAGGAGGCGATACAGCTCCTCGTATATCACAGACTGCACTCACCTAAGGAGGCGATACAGCTCCTCGTATCTCACAAACTGCACTCACCTAAGGAGGCGATACAGCTCCTCGTATCTCACAGACTGCACTCACCTAAGGAGGCGATACAGCTCCTCGTATATCACAGACTGCACTCACCTAAGGAGGCGATACAGCTCCTCGTATATCACACAAAGGAGGCGATACAGCTCCTCGTATATCACAGACTGCACTCACCTAAGGAGGCGATACAGCTCCTTGTATATCACACAGACTGCACTCACCTAAGGAGGCGATACAGCTCCTTGTATATCACACAGACTGCACTCACCTAAGGAGGCGATATTGCTCCTCTGTAACTTCCAGTTCAAGAGGCGGCTGCACTGCAGATACCTTCAGTCGTCTCGTATCACACTCTGCAGACACGGCCTCATAGGAATCTTTAGAGAATAAAAAACCAAACAAACAGATTTTAGAGCACCTGACACGTTTTTCCAAGAAGGAACCCTCACACACGGTTTCTGTAGAAACACCCAGTTGGTCACAGTAAGCACCGTTTTGTTGCCAGAGCAATGAACACATCCCGTATTACGGTACCTGCGATAAGCTGCTCCAGACGGACCCGTTCATGTGCTGCATGCTGATCCACCAACACCAAAAGGTTCCCATCTACACAGAACAGTATTATATGGTTACAGCAACAATATAACAAATCACTATTTGTGTTCTGTGTACACACATACCTGGTTAACATACTAAGTACATGTACACACATACCTGGTTAACATACTAAGTACATGTACACAAGAGTACATATAGCCCGAGACAGACCCCTACATTGGAGACATATAGCCCGAGACAGACCCCTATATTGGAGACACATAGCCCAAGACAGACCCCTATATTGGAGACACATAGCCCGAGACAGACCCCTATATTGGAGACACATAGCCCGAGACAGACCCCTATATTGGAGACACATAGCCCGAGACAGACCTCTATATTGGAGACACAAAGCCCGAGACAGAACCCTATATTGGAGACACATAGTCCGAGACAGACCCCTATATTGGAGACACATAGCCCGAGACAGACCCCTATATTGGAGACACATAGCCCGAGACAGACCCCTATATTGGAGACACATAGCCCGAGACAGACCCCTATATTGGAGACACATAGTCCGAGACAGACCCCTATATTGGAGACACATAGCCTGAGACAGACCCCTATATTGGAGACACATAGCCCGAGACAGACCTCTATATTGGAGACACATAGCCCGAGACAGACCCCTATATTGGAGACACATAGCCCGAGACAGACCCCTATATTGGAGACACATAGTCCGAGACAGACCCCTATATTGGAGACAGATAGCCCGAGACAGACCCCTATATTGGAGACACATAGCCTGAGACAGACCCCTATGTTGGAGACACATAGTCCCACATATACAATGTTTACCTGGATTGGCTTGTCCCTCCTTCTTTATATCCATCAAACATGCGATAAACTTATTATCCACTTGCTGCAGCACCTGAATCAAAGCACACAGAGCAAAGAACAATTTAACCCCATGCACTGCCCTATAAACCCCACTGATTATCCACTACTGTTAGGAGTAAGGGAGCACAGCAAGGATTTTAGTGACAGATCCCCATTAAGTGTTCTGAGTTATATGTTTGGGACAGCGATTTTCCAGAAAAACTAAACTAAGTAGCCATAATCAAAGAACACGATGGCACGCGGCGATCATCTTATTCCCAGTGAATAAACTCCCTTAAACTGTCCCCCTGGGGTACAGGACCTCAAACAGTCAGGTGCTATACAGATAGACAGTTATTCTCTTCTTACCCACGTGGAATGAATCATATCCTTGGTGAAGCGATAAGGGTACAATATATTGTGTATTTTCACAGCCAGGGTGTCTGAGTGCCCACTGCTTACATTTACAGCCACCTGGGAGAAAACACTCTCTGTTAAAGCATGTGGTCCCCTTGTTCCAGTAAACATCACATTGCAAAGAAATACAGGGAACTATTGCAAATAAATAAAGGGAACACTTCGGCAAATCAGGGATTATTAGAGATCCCAAATGCATGAATTAGTGGAATCCCTGGTGGATTTAAAGTGGAATTAAAGAAATTCAGGAGATGGACTAGTGGGCTAACTAAGTTCCAATGCTCTTACAGCTGATTTAATAAAAAAAAATGAATGGTGTCCATCTCTGCACAGCACATGTTGGGGGTCAGACTCGCTCACACGAACAGCTTTGCATTAAGTACTTACTGACGGATGTCGTTCAAACACCGGATTCTCCCACTGTGAGAAGATGCTTTGCAGAGAACAATCCTCTGCATCTGCAACAGAATAAAGCAAAGTGAGAGATGACAAAGACGAGGAATCAGATTCTCCAAGAATATAATCACAACATAAACAAAACATATCTCCTTTCTCTACCTGTGGGTGCCCTTAAACAGGCCCTTTGTCCATGTGGCTTAGGAAAGAGTGGAACAAGATTCTCCTTCCAGAAGGGGTAACACTGTGACCGCAGCCCTAACAGCAAGACAGACAATAACACCACTTAGGCTCAATCACTTTCTATATGTAATCTGGGAATATTGCAGTAACCGGGACAAAATATGGCTTCCTTTCCATCACAATTTGTGTTCTATATAAATCGGTCCATGTATAGGGTATGGTTATTGTGGTGTTCTGGTGAATCGGTCCATGTATAGGATATGGTTATTGTGGTGATCTGGTGAATCGGTTCACGTCTAAGATATGGTTATTGTGGTGATCTGGTGAATCGGTTCACGTCTAAGATATGGTTATTGAGGTGTTCTGGTGAATCGGTTCACGTCTAAGATATGGTTATTGTGGTGTTCTGGTGAATCGGTTCATGTATAGGATATGGTTATTGTGGTGTTCTGGTGAATCGGTTCACGTCTAAGATATGGTTATTGTGGTGATCTGGTGAATCGGTTCACGTCTAAGATATGGTTATTGTGGTGTTCTGGTGAATCGGTCCATGTATAGGATATGGTTATTGTGGTGATCTGGTGAATCGGTTCACGTCTAAGATATGGTTATTGTGGTGATCTGGTGAATCGGTTCACGTCTAAGATATGGTTATTGAGGTGTTCTGGTGAATCGGTTCACGTCTAAGATATGGTTATTGTGGTGTTCTGGTGAATCGGTTCATGTATAGGGTATGGTTATTGTGGTGTTCTGGTGAATCGGTTCACGTCTAAGATATGGTTATTGTGGTGATCTGGTGAATCGGTTCACGTCTAAGATATGGTTATTGTGGTGTTCTGGTGAATCGGTTCACGTCTAAGATATGGTTATTGTGGTGATCTGGTGAATCGGTTCACGTCTAAGATATGGTTATTGTGGTGATCTGGTGAATCGGTTCATGTATAGGGTATGGTTATTGTGGTGATCTGGTGAATCGGTTCATGTATAGGATATGGTTATTGTGGTGTTCTGGTGAATCAGTTCAAGTCTAGGATATGGTTATTGTGGTGATCTGGTGAATCGGTTCACGTCTAAGATATGGTTATTGTGGTGATCTGGTGAATCGGTCCATGTATAGGATATGGTTATTGTGGTGATCTGGTGAATCGGTTCATGTATAGGGTATGGTTATTGTGGTGTTCTGGTGAATTGGTTCAAGTCTAAGATATGGTTATTGTGGTGATCTGGTGAATCGGTTCATGTATAGGGTATGGTTATTGAGGTGTTCTGGTGAATTGGTTCAAGTCTAAGATATGGTTATTGTGGTGATCTGGTGAATCGGTTCATGTATAGGGTATGGTTATTGAGGTGTTCTGATGAATCGGTTCACGTCTAAGTTATGGTTATTGTGGTGATCTGGTGAATCGGTTAATGTCCGGAATATGGTTATTGTGGTATGTTAGTGAATCATGTATTGATACACACCATTACCGTAGTCAGTGCTCTCCACCATGGCAGTAAGTTCTGTTTCACACACAGTTTCCATGTCTTGTTGTGGTGCTCTGTAACTACTCATTCCTGTGACTCTATTGATGAAAATGTTTCTCCCAAGAGAGGCTTCATAGCACAGCAACCAATCAGAAGACTCTGAGCTCTCACTGGGAACTCTGGGTATAACGTCGGGATCTAAGTGAGCTTTATTCGGGGTGCAAATCCTCTGCTCCCCACAGCTTGACAGTGGACAATCATTATTGATTGTTTCTTCTCTCTGCCCTGTAATGTGCGATGTGATTAGACCAACAGAGGACAACTCTATGGTTTCTTCTCTCTGCCCAGTAATGTGCGATGTGATTAGACCAACAGAGGACAGCTCTACGGTTTCTTCTCTCTGCCCAGTAATGTGCGGTGTGATTAGACCAACAGAGGACAACTCTATGGTTTCTTCTCTCTGCCCAGTAATGTGCGATGTGATTAGACCAACAGAGGACAACTCTATGGTTTCTTCTCTCTGCCCAGTAATGTGCGGTGTGATTAGACCAACAGAGGACAGCTCTATGGTTTCTTCTCTCTGTCCAGTAATGTGTGGTGTGATAATACCAACAGAGGACAGCTCTACGGTTTCTTCTCTCTGCCTAGTAATTGGCGGTGTGATTAGACCAACAGAGGACAGCTCTATGGTTTCTTCTCTCTGCCCAGTAATAGGCGGTGTAATAAGACCAATAGAGGACAGCTCTATGGTTTCTCCTCTCTGCCCAGTAATGTGTGGTGATGTAATAAGATCTACAGCAGATGACTCCATGGATGGTATATGCTCGGGTGGGAATTCTTTTGTTTTGGGTGTCTCGTTAGAGAGACCGACCTTCATGCTCTGTTTCTGTCTAGACAGTTTAGCAGTAAGTGAGCTACGAACTATCTGCTGACCTGAATCATTCCTTTTTAAATGAGCATAGTCTGAGTATGTCAGAGGACTGATGCCTGATAATAAGTGCCCAGAGTCCTTTGTGTTTTCCAGAATAGGAACAGGAGGTTTTTGCAATAAGCTGGACAGTTCCTGTGTTTCAGTCATTTTATTATTGGTACAAAGATTGGATTTGTCTTCATTCTGGTCACTTCCAGCTTGGAACAAAAGTCCATTATTTCCTACAGACGGACTCACAACAGATTGCTGCATTTTTCCAAACTGTCTCCTAAATTTTTCCAAGGAACCTACAAGCGAAGCCATTCCCACCACTGCGGAAACCTTTCTTTTGGACGGTACTGTGGGATTCTTGGGAGCGCTGTACAGTTCACCCCACTGCCTATTTAGAGTAGCCCAGTTAATGTCTGCTTTATGTTCACTCCCAAATACTTTATAGTCTTCTTCCAATCCAGATCTGGGGAACATGCTATACAGTGGGCTTTCATCCTTTTCACTTGACAGGCCGAGAATACCACGAGGGTGCTTGGAGCAGCTGGCTGTTATACTATTGCCTAATTCCATAGAAAAGTCGTCTTTAAAAGCAGAGTCAGTGACATCCCCATTATCCTGATTATTGCTGCATTTCGATGAAGTTCTGGAGTCATACTCTTTACTCTTAGTAAAGCGGTTGGAAATTGCATCTACACCAGATTCTTTGGTCGGATGCTTCAGGACAAAGGCTTCTGCTTCCCAGTTGTCACTTGCAAGCTCCTCCTGGCTGTATGCCTGGGGGGCCTTTTCACTGCATTCAATGATGGCATGATTTCCAGGGTGCATAATCTCATTAGAGGTTTTACATTCGCAATGCGCAATGGGAGGAGTTTGTACCAAGCAATCCAGTATTGCTACTCCAGCTGTCTGGATTTCTCTTGTATCATTATAAGATGTTGTAAGTGCTTTGCTGTTATTACGGAACACTGATTTAGATTTCACATTGCAGATCTCATAATTATCTAAAGCCTTCTCAAATGCATTCTGATAAATATCTTTGTCTTGATTTTCTTGAGGATTAAACTCATTTAATGGCAGACTTAAATTATTGCTTTCTTCTCTTAGTGGCTCCAGGAACAAATCCGTTGTCTTGAGAAATGTCCTCACTCCTTCCTCAATGCAGTGAAACAGCAAGTCACCGTTTTGGAATTCAATCAGTGTCTTTGCTGGCTCAAAACAAACATCATACTCCTGGCAATTACACTGAATGTTTATTAGAAAGATGGCATGAAGCTCAGGGCTGGAGTGGTACTTACCTGGGTGGGGACTTGTTTTTGGCCTGCAGATCACACTTTCCTTCCTCAGCATGGAGCCAATTAGTTTATGTAATTTTGTTTTTAAAACAAATCTCTTGTTAACATACAGGTACTGCATTGTCTTGTTATAATGGCTTTCACAGCTTATAAATCCAGACACAGTGAATCCATACTGCACATGCTGGATCTTTCGGAGCTTCTGGGAATGTGCCAAACCATAAATCTGGCAAAAGCGTGATCGTACATCTTTGGTTTTTGGTAACTGCAGAACCATTGAATGCAAAGCATCATTTTTCAGGGAGTAAGAGACGGAGGGCTGGATAAGAGACAAAGCTTCTACCCCCCGGCGTATCCTTTCAAACTCTAAGACAGAGTCCATGCACTTCCTACGAACTGGTAAATTATAAAATAAATTATAGATAGTAACAGTGGTTCCGGTGCTTGGCCTGGCCAGCTCCGCTTCCTTTACTTGCATTGGTTTTCCATTCTGGAACAGTTTAGTAAACGTTTTTGCATTATTCTTACACCTTGAAGAAATTTCTACAATGGTGGAAACATCAGCAATGCTTGCAATGGCTTCTCCACGAAACCCGTATGACACCAAGTTTTCTAAATCCTTTAGGGAATGGCATTTGCTTGTAAAGTAACGAGTTCCCACTTTTGTCATGTCATCTTCGCACACACCCCATCCATTATCCACTACCTGAACTCGAAAAGCCTCTAAATCCACCCTCACAGCAATGCATGTTGCCTGAGAATCTGCGCTGTTCAGGATCAGTTCTTCGATGCACTGCCGCGTCGACACAATTGCGACCCCAGAACGCAGGTTATGTTGTACTTCATCTGTCAGTCGTCGGATCATTGAAACCTTTATTTCACATTCCTCTAAAGATGCAGTACTAAGGAAAAGAACAGACAATTATACACTTCATTTTTTATTTTACATGTAGCACACAAACAGCTCCACAGCAATAAATCTCACAGTAATGTGCAGTGTGTATGAGTGTATCACAGAGCTCCAAAGCAATAAAACTCCTAGTGTGCAGTGTGTATGAGTGTATCACAGAGCTCCAAAGCAATAAAACTCCTAGTAATGTGCAGTGTGTAGGGGTGTATCACAGAGCTCCAAAGCAATAAAACTCACAGTAATGCACAGTGTGTATGAGTGTATCACAGAGCTCCACTGCAATAAATCTCACAGTAATGTGCAGTGTGTATGAGTGTATCACAGAGCTCCAAAGCAATAAAACTCCTAGTAATGTGCAGTGTGTAGGGGTGTATCACAGAGCTCCAAAGCAATAAAACTCACAGTAATGCACAGTGTGTATGAGTGTATCACAGAGCTCCACTGCAATAAATCTCACAGTAATGTGCAGTGTGTATGAGTGTATCACAGAGCTCCATAGCAATAAACCTCACAGTAATGCACAGTGTGTAGGGGTGTATCACAGAGCTCCAAAGCAATAAAACTCCTAGTAATGTGCAGTGTGTAGGGGTGTATCACAGAGCTCCAAAGCAATAAAACTCCAAGTAATGTGCAGTGTGTAGGGGTGTATCACAGAGCTCCAAAGCAATAAAACTCACAGTAATGTGCATGAGGGTATCACAGTGCTCCACTGCAATAAATCTCACAGTAATGTGCAGTGTGTATGAGTGTATCACAGTGCTCCACTGCAATAAATCTCACAGTAATGTACACTGCACATTACTGTGAGATTTATTGCAGTGGAGCACTGTGATACCCTCATGCACATTACTGTGAGTATGAATGTATCACAGAGCTCCAAAGCAATAAAACTCCCAGTAATGTGCAGTGTATGAGTGTATCACAGAGCTCCAAAGCAATAACACTCCCAGTAATGTGTCCCTAAACTGCACTACATGTATTTATAAATTAGTTTATGTAAATACACAATGTGACTTGTCAGCCTTTTACATAAAGACTGTCAATAAGACATAAAATCACCCAACATGTATTGGAAATACCTCGGCCATGTTCACTTCCCAAAAGACTACTCTCCATTTGCTCAGGTCTGCTGTGGATCCTGTAAACCCCAATACCGCGCTGTAAAGAAGGGACCTTGTTTTTTTTAATGTTAAAGCGTGTTTTTATATATAATCTCTTTCATTTATAGACCCTGGACAGGGATCTATTTACTAAACAGTGACACTACGTGGACTGAAAGCTGAATTTATACAATGTAACCCAGAGTGTCATGCAACACGGCGGCACTGAGCAATAGCGAAGGTATATTGCATAAGGAGGGACACATTCCGCACTCCAGATGTTCTGGACTTTGCCAGCATTATGGCTGTGAGAGCATTCTGGGGGAGGTAGTCCACAATATTTGAAGCGTTGAGGTATAGTGAATTATGAAGTAGTTGTGATGGACCACCGTTATAGTTTCTAGAGTATAGAATCAAGTATAAGTTAGTATAGGTGAAAAAGGAAGTACAGAGAAATACAGGGGTAGAATATTACGAGAAATTGTATGGGAATTTAGAAGGTGGTAAATAAGAGAAGAATATGTAGTATATTAGGGGAAATAGAAGGGAAAAGCAAGGGTATTATCTGTAAATTAGGAGGTAATATTGGTATATAAGGGGTTATCTTAGTATAAAAGGGGAATTATAATACACTAGCGATTCGATTAGTATCATAGGGGTTATAAAGGTATATTAACATATTAGGGTACTATAGGTATAATATGTTGTTACAATGGGGCTGTAGAGGTGTAATATGTTGTTATAGTGGGGCAGTAGAGGTGTAATATATTGTTATAGTGGGGCAGTAGAGGTATAATATATTGTTATAGTGGGGCAGTAGAGGTGTAATATATTGTTATAGTGGGGCAGTAGAGGTGTAATATATTGTTATAGTGGGGCAGTAGAGGTATAATATATTGTTATAGTGGGGCAGTAGAGGTGTAATATATTGTTATAGTGGGGCAGTAGAGGTATAATATATTGTTATATTGGGGCAGTAGAGGTGTAATATATTGTTATATTGGGGCAGTAGAGGTGTAATATATTGTTATAGGGGGGCAGTAGAGGTGTAATATATTGTTATAGTGGGGCAGTAGAGGTATAATATATTGTTATAGTGGGGCAGTAGAGGTATAATATATTGTTATAGTGGGGCAGTAGAGGTATAATATATTGTTATAGTGGGGCAGTAGAGGTATAATATATTGTTATAGTGGGGCAGTAGAGGTATAATATATTGTTATAGTGGGGCAGTAGAGGTATAATATATTGTTATAGTGGGGCAGTAGAGGTATAATATATTGTTATAGAGGGGCAGTAGAGGTATAATATATTGTTATAGAGGGGCAGTAGAGGTATAATATATTGTTATAGTGGGGCAGTAAAGGTGTAATATATTGTTATAGGGGGGGCAGTAGAGGTATAATATATTGTTATAGGGGGGCAGTAGAGGTATAATATTGTTACTGGCAAATGCAAATATTACAAGTTTTAGAATGAAATGTTGTATTTCTTAAACTGTGTACTTTGTCTTTAAGAGATATTGCAAACTGACAAGGTGTTAGACATGGAACATTGTTTTTCATAACTGTTTCTTTAAGCAATAACCTCAGTGCATAATATGTTTGCGCCGTTTTGTCCCAGACGAATTACAATAACAATAATGCATAAACAAGCTTCAAGGCTTTGCTACAACTCTTGCAGTACACAATATACTGTGGTAACCCCAAATCCTGGAATCTCCCACGACTGTACACTTACGACCTAGTATAAACAACAGATAACCTATTCAGACTTTAAGATGCCATCTTGAACTAAGTCAGGAAAATTTCCATGACGTATACACCCTTTAGTTATGGCCTTGTATGTTTGCCAAATTAAGGGAGGTCCTAAATTGAATAAAGTAAAAGAAGTGTTACTTTTTCATATTTGAACTACAGTAACCTAAAATGGAGACACCTAAGGTATAAATAGGTGTACTTTTAAATGTTAAGACACAGAGGAGAGACTTGGAGACAGACGCTGCTCCATCTTAAAATGACAGAGAGGCTGACATGATGACATGTTCAGAAGGGTATGTTAACCTATTAATGATATTTGCAAGCATGTAATTTAATCTTTTAAACTCTGCTATAATGGATTTTATATTTTTATATATTAAATATCCAAAAAGACAATCTTGCTTCCAAGACAATCCTTATTTTATATTGTATTCTCAATTATTTATATCTGTTAAATAGAGGATCTCTTACACTATATAAAATTATGGCTAAGATATCTGTATGGTTAGCCCTACTAAGTTCTATGCTTTAAGACATTATAGTGGTAAATAAGGGAACCACACACGGTTACAATTGGCGACCACGAAGGGACTTTGTACTTGGAAGCTTTAAATATAAAATAAATACCTAGGTAACCTCTTATACGTAAGAGAAGACACAATACTTTGTCATGGCACAAGTCTTGAAATATCGAGAATCTATTGAGCTATGTGTAGCCCAGACTCAGAGAGAGATCTTCATCATTAGAGATGATTTTAATGTGAACAAGGCACTGTGAGTTCAGGTGCCAGGTACAACGTAATTAGCATAAAATGCTGAAATTGTGGATCTTAATTAATATCATAAGAAAATAAATATGCATATTTGGTAAATTCTCTGATGTGTCTAATACACCAGCACAGCATGGCCCGTTAGTTCCAGGACAGTGGATTGCAGACAGGGGGGTATGTTCTCTTTGTAGCTGCTTAGTATGCATGCGCAGGAAAAAGATTAATGCAAAATGTTGTCAAAAGAAAAGTGATAAGACAGAGCGATGAAATTTGAAGTCTAATTCCAAGAATGCAAAGAAAATTGCATTATAGCTTAATGAAAACATTCATGCAACAGACAGACAGGATTTCTAATTATTGCATTACTGCGTTCTGGATTCTAATGTCCACTATATATGAAAAGTTTTAGAAAACAGTGATATTTTCCATATTGTCAGTTAGGCTAGCTGTTGATTGAAAATCAGGAATTATAACAGCATAACTATTTTTGGAGTCTGGAATTTCCAGCCAAGGTTGCGGAGATACAGAGACATGTAAACATTCCAAGGAATTGAGAAGTCGTTGTTTTATATTCCAAATTATGAACAACATTATTACATACAGCCATAAAGAAAAATACATGGCTTTTAAATGCATTCAATGCAGTACACTGCAGCATGTATTTTATATAATATATAATTAACTAGCTCATATTTTTTCCTAAACAGAGTTGAAATTATACTACCCTCCTAGAAAAAAGGGCAACAGGTGGTTATACATCCTTTGCTTCTCTAAATTCTCTGCATAAATAAATATTGATAAAATGATTACAAATAATATATACGTAAGATAAAGCGGGGCAAAATAAAATTGTAACTATATAGGATCTCTAATAACTTTTAAACTGAAATTATTAAAGACTTATTTAAATAAAATGTTAAATACATTTACAACTTTAAATGTGACCAAAAGATATTAAATGATGTGTTAAGCAGCCAGCCCAATTCACTAGAATAGCATAAGTATTCTACTATTTAAAGTGCACAATTTCTGCACATAATGACTTTGCTTACTTAGGTACAGTCTTTAGTCTATTGCAATGGCAGTAAAGTCCACCAATTTTAAAAGGGAAAGCTTACTTAAATCATTGGTACTATCCCACCGTGCTAGCAGTAAGGAAATTAGAACAATTATATTGTACTACTGACTGTAATCAGATCAGACACATGTAGTCTCAGTGAATTTCATAAAAATAAGATTAAATATCAAAGTTGTTTATATATAAACATATCAATGTTGTTTATAAATAAAAGTATATAGACTAGGCAATAACAGCATTTACATGCATTCAGCAGCCTGCTCTCTCAGAGCCAGAACTGGATTTATAAAAAAA